TATGGAGATGGCTGTCTCCTAGGTTGTAGCACCATGTAATCTTGTGTAGATTCACCAACGATTCAGAGGTCCTTACCAGACTACATGGCACAACCCAGATATCAGTCATCTTCTCTTATGAACATGGTAATGAACCTTCAGGTTCATAATTTCTTTGCTAGTTAAGCATACTCGTCCTGGGCATGACGTTAAACTGTGTCCACAGACCGAGTGACCACCGGTATAAGTGGTCCCCCTCTATCAAGTGTCAACAGCCTCTTCAGAGGGTGGATGAGCGGGTGGAGGTTCAGGGCACCCTCATGCCCTTGGGGTGAGAAATCACCCCTAAAGGCAGATGAACTGGATGGGTCAACGGCATAGGATGCAGAAGGCAAGGGGAATCCACCGTATTAAAGATATTCAGGATTTCCCAAGTATCAGCAGCTCACAGAGCTGCTGCCAACCAATCCTAGGATTGATTACAAAAGAAGAAGAAGAAGAAGAAAGTTAAGCATACTGTATATCAGCTACTCAATGAGGACCATGTTCAGTGGATTTTGTTAGTAAGTTAGTTAGTGGTCACAGCCCAAGATGTCACTGCTTACTTTCACCTATTTAAGATTTTCTTACATTTACTTTCCCACATGAACCTTATACAGGAATTTCATCGTATTACCACTCTTGTGTCTCCCATCACATGGCACAACTTACCAATGAGGTAGTACATGATTTCATCCTCAAATGAATCTTCACTGAACCAAATTGTTCTTGTTTCCTCATACTGTCGGAACATCCCAAACTTGGGATCCAGGATTTCCCTCAACAGTAATAAGAAGAACTCCTTTGTTACACCACCTGCATCTTCAGCTTCCTCATTTTCAAACTTCACCTGTGATGAACAAATAATCTGCCTGTTTACACCAGTTTATATGATCATGGAGCTGGCAAAGTGCAAATATTCATATCTGTTATTCATTGCTAGAATAAAATGTTCCATGCTTTCCCAGGTTTATGCACACAGTATCCATTGTGTACATAATTAAATATTCAACCTATTAGGATTAAGAAACAAATAACCATTATTTAATCTTGAACTGGACACCAACATCAAATTATTAAAATGAGAGGGTAGGTAATAGCTTCATTCATACATATGGATGTTTGTAACTCAGAAATTTATAACTTGAGGACGTCCTGTACAAATGATTTAATTAACACCTTAAGTGGAGATGAAATTTATGCCAATGCATCACCAAATGGGGCTTTTCATTTTATTTAAAACAACGGTGAATTTTTTATATATTATGGACAATGCATATTTATTAGGTATGGAAATAAAAAAATTCATGTTTAAATTTTTAGCTATTTTATTAACAATTTCTCCACATTTAAAAAAAATGTCATTTGTTTTCCTCTGCTATTTCCATTGGATTTAGTGGAGTAATTAACGATAAATTCTTTCTAATGTCTTGTGGGACCTATTGTTCACAAAGTTCAAGAAATAATTTGCAGTTCCATCAAATTAGTTAGGAGAAAATCATTATGCCAAAAACTACTGTTGTCATGTGTGGTTGCCTATTTATCCACTGCCATCCAAATCTTGGTGTAAGCATACATGCGCGCTTCTCACCAGGCGGACATTAAACAACTGTAGTTTTATTTCTTATGGTACTGACATGGAAAACAAAATTAGTACTGCAGTACACATTTCCTGTTTTTTTCTTGTTAATGCTAGTCTTTAACCAAAAGAGCAGAAAAGACAAAAATCAAACATTATTCAGCTGCGCTTAATAAATTCATACCTTCAGTGGTTTCTTGAGATCTGTAGCTTCAAATTTAGCAAGTTCTCGAATGGTGTCAGTAACAAGGTTTTCTCTGCTGACATGCAACTCAAGAAATGTGCTGATGCTGGCAGATAAGACAGGTGAAAAGAAGAGAGATGTGATTGCCCTGGTGGCTGCTTGGTTCATTGCTGACTGCATCTGCCTCATGAAAAAAACATGAATAACAAATAACATACACTGTTACAGAATTATAATTTGCAGCAGTCAAAGGGGTAAGATATACAATACAAAGTCTATCCTGCCTCAGTTGGTCAAGAAATTCTCCATCATTTATACAACCCAACAGTTCATTATCATGGTTTCAAGAGCCCAACACTGATGAACCCAGTTCTCAGTCTTCTTACATTCTTCTAATCCACTTTATATGCTACAGAACACTGAACTTCTATTATAATCATCTAACTCATTCATCTGCGACCTTATGTGTAATAGTCACACTGTTATTATTCCTTCTCCCACATTAAATAATCTTTGAAAGTTGTTCTACATTCTTGAACTCACCTGAAGGGACTGATCTGCTTGCAGCAAAAGTGTTTTTGCTTGAGCATCAAACAGGAATGGGTAATTGCAAAAAAAAATTCTTTGTTTCTGAAACAAGAACAAAGCAAGTTCTTTAAAATGGTTATTATTAAGAACTTAAAGTTACAGTACTCAACTAAATAAAATACAACAACTTTAAGAACCTAAGTCCTTTCTGAAAAACTACAGGATCTCTAATTTATCATGAGTCTGGGGCCCATACAATATTATAGCAAGCTTCCAACATAGTGGAGAAGGAGAAGCCAACTGTTTGCTATCCATTTTTCTGCTACAGTATGACCTACCTTAGACTTAGAATGCAAAACTTCTGCTTCTGTGCAGGTATCATATCTTGAAAAAAATTATCCAGACACATGGCAAAGTTGCTGTCTTGGAATAATAGAAATTTGCTGCTGATATTTTTTTCATTTCTCATAGTGAAATAGAATTGTTCATGTACACTACCTCTTAGGATGCTGAACTCAGATATAAAAGATGTTAGTCTCATGATAAATTGAAATCCCTGTCTCTCATTTAGTTTAGAAATTCCTCACTTTTCATGGAACATAAGTTTCATTACTGTTTTTACAACAGATTGTCACTGGAATTCAACCCAAGTCAGATAAGCCTACTTCTTTAAAATTAACTGTAATATTATCTTCCTACCTATGCCAAGGTCTTCTCCAGCTAAACTTTTCTATTTTTATGTCCTATGTATACTATGTGACCTGCTTATCTCATTCTCCTTCCCATTTAAGAGGAACCTATCATCTACATCTTCAGGGATGAAAAAGCTTGACTATCAAAATTCAGTGATAAACATGACCATTATTGGTAATCAGAAGTCTGGGGTTTTATCAAGGAAGCTGGAGGAATGTTCTGTCAAACATAACAGCCTTCTGTTCAATTACAGGAATCACCAAAAGATAGTTTTGACATTATGTAAGGTACTGTACTTTTCAACTTATGACAAGAAGCTGGTTTGATAAAGTGAACTGTAGATTAATTCTCAGATTATGACATTAAAATACATAGTGAAAAATGGAATTTCAGTGGAGTGAGACACTACTGTGATGCATTTATCATACCACTCCTATGCAGAGTATTTGCCTCAAACTACATTAGCAAAATATCAACAGTACAGCAGTCTAAACAATGATAGTGATCTGCTGACTGACCTTGCACAACCTCAATCAGACCCAACATTCAGACAGAAAAATGTCTTACCATGCTGCGGGGTTCCAATTGGCATGCAACAAGTCAGAATAATACCTGCTTGATATTTAAAGTTTATATTTGTAAATGTTTCAGACATCCCAGGTCTCAAGAGAACAATGTACATATCAAAATGTATCCAGAACATAATAATTTTATAAGAAACTTGTTTTAAATATGTGCATTACCACCATCATAATGGTTTTTAACCAACTGAAATCTAAAGGTTTTCAAGGATTATTGACAGTTATTCAAGTTAACACAAAAAAGTTTCTCATAGATAAATACTACAAAAATATCAGAAATTACAGCTCAAATGGTTCAAAGATGGTGAAGGAATATAGTATTTTTAAATACTCATACAAAATCATTTTGGATTTACAAGCCATTGTCGTCAGTGCTGTATGTACACTACAAGATAAGAAATTACAGAAAAATTAAAACATTAAATATTACCGGTCTTGAAAGTCCAGGAAGCTGGCTCCATAAAGGATAAAATCCAGATTAGTCAGCCAAACCATGCAACAAGGAAAAGAAAAGGTGATGACCCAAGCCAGAAATTAAATCAATTCTGTAGGTACAAACTGATAAAACAACATTCCAAAATGTTAATAAAAGGGATGACAATAGCAAATTCCAGGTTCACATGCCACGTCTTGTTTCTTCTTACATCACTATGCTGAAACATAGAACACCCCTTTTGCCAAACAAATTTAACTCATTATAATTCCATTATCACTAAATTAGACACACTATTTAATAATATGCAAACATGACTATTCATAATTTTCCTCCTTTTTGACACTTGAATATCTAAAACAAAAAATACCAGTACTACTTACAAATTCAGTCCATTGTTTAAACAGGTGATTATATTCCCCATATTACACTACATAATTCACACACACACTTTCCTAAAATCCAAAACAAAAATTTGGGTGTGTAATTTATAAAAACAATGCATCTTAGTAAAAATCACAATGTATTGGATTATATTTACTAGACTGTTACTAACCAAGTGATGATCCTTAGTCATTAGCCATTTGATGTAATCCAGCCGAACATCAACCTTCTCAGTGAGTTCTGTCAGGTAGAATGAATCATAAGGCACCTTAAATCCATCCACATCATTGTTGAGCTTGTTCAGCTTCCCAAGAACTTCAAGTGGAACCACCATGTCATAATCCCAGTTTACATTCTGCATCACAAAGACATAGTTTATAATTTGAAACACTGTAGAGAAAGCTGCTTTGCTGTGGGGTTTACTGAAGGACTATCTAGACAGTCAAATACAATCAACATCTTCACCGCTGCAAGAGTGATATCACCTACTTTGACTGTTAACCAATTTTCTATAGTTCTCCTACCAAATACTTTATTGTGGGTTTACCTGGTGGATTAGACTACCAGCTTTGTATGTAACGAGCTGTCACATTTTGAGCTTTTATGATATGATACTGAAACACCATATTTCATATATCACAAATTATTTGTCAGAAAGAAACATCTTCAAGAACAAAAATGTTTCTTTCATACAGTCCAAGGTAGTATCTTTTAAAACATGGTCTTCTAAGTAATATCATCTTACAGTAATGTAGCTGGTAACTAGCATTTCAGAGGAATATGCTTTCTCTGTCTTCAGTGCAGAAGTCTTCCTCCAAAACATTACTAACCACCTGAAAGTCTACAAATTGTCATAATGCAAAGGAAATAAATTAAATTTTCACAACTTCAAATCATATTTTTTAGTTTCCACTTTACACACAAGAATACATGAATTGAAATTGAACTATGTATGAAGTATCAGATCTTCCAATCAACAAATGTACACTGAACATAAACACATTTCTTACCTCTTGGTTGACATTTTCTGTTTTCCCGAGTATATGCATTACAACATTCTTGAACACCCTAATCAATCGTTCAAAGTAATCGAAGGACGTTTTACTCCACCACCAACCTGAATGACAAAAGAAGAAA